ATAGCAAGGTAAAAATAGATAAAACAGTATATTCAGTACACTTAACACTTTTGATAAAACTGTGAATGTTGAGAAAGTGCCTTAGCACCGCAGCAGATATCTTAGTCTTATATCAGCCATGTTTGCCCTCTGTGTGACTTTGTGTGCATGAAGGGTTAAGTGTGGATGTGTGTTTGTGTTCCTTTGCTCCAAGTAGTTTTATAAGAAATTATTTTTTTCTATTTAATGATCATAATGGAAAACAGGTAAAGGTGGGCTATCACCTTAGGACCTTAGGGAGAATGGTCAGACTTGATTGATTCAGAAGTAGATGAAACTGACCATAGCAGGATGAGTAGATTTAGAGGCAACTCATTATAGGTTACTGCGTTTTTATTGCATAGATCAAGATATTAATCGTTTGTCACTATACTGTTTCTGGCACGTAAGCTGTGTTGTTAAACTGTATATAAATTGTGTGTTTTTCTTATAGAGTAGGGCAGTCTTCTTTGACTCTCTCCTTGTGCACATGCAATAAAGGAATATCTGCTTATTCAACTCCTGTGTGAAGAACATGTGTTTTATATTATTGAGCAATTCACAGTTGGGGGCTCATGGCCGGGATCCCAACACCTCAGACCCAGGGTCCAGACGGCCCAGGCTCACCCTCTTCTACCCAATCTTGAGCTCATCCGAAAGAAGGTAAGGCACCTTTTCTAAATGCCTTTAGTGTAAATTATTGGGTAGAGAAGATGTGGGTTGGCCACTGGTTAACAACTCTTATGGGATCCATAAGAGTTGAGTAAGTACAATTATTATTATTATTATTGCCATTTATATAGCGCCAACAGATTCCGTAGCGCTTTGTACAATAATACATGCATGTAGTTATTCAGTACATAGCCTAACCCGCTATTGTAAATTTGAGTTTAAGTACATAGCCTAACCTGCTATTGCAGAGTACATAGCTTAACTAGCTATTGTAAATTTGTGTATGAGTACATAGCCTAACCCGCTATTGTAGAGTACATAGCCTAACCCGCTATTGTAGAGTACATAGCCTAACCCGCTATTGTAGAGTACATAGCCTAACCTGCTATTGTAGAGTACATAGCCTAACCCTGCTATTGTAAATTTGTATTTAAGTACATAGCCTAACCCTCTATTGTAGAGTACATAACCTAACCTGCTATTGTACAGTACATAGCCTAACCTGCTATTGTAAATTTGTGTTTGAGTGCATAGCCTAACCCACTATTGTAGAGTAAATAGCCTAACCCGCTATTGTAGAGTACATAGCCTAACCTGCTATTGTAGATTTGTGTTTGAGTACATAACCTAACCCGCTATTGTAGATTACATAGCCTAACCTGCTATTGTAGAGTTCATAACCTAACTTGCTATTGTAAATTTGTGTTTGAGTAAATAGCCTAACCCGCTATTGTAGAGTACATAGCCTAACACCGCTATTGTATAGTACATAGCCTAACCTGCTATTGTAGAGTACATAGCCTAACTCACTATTGTAGAGTACATAGCCTAACCTGCTATTGTAAATTTGTGTTGGAGTACATAGCCTAACCCGCTATTGTAGAGTACATAGCCTAACCGGTATTGTAAATTTGTGTTGGAGTACATAGCCTAACGCCGCTATTGTATAGTACATAGCCTAACCCACTATTGTAGAGTACATAACCTAACCTGCTATTGTACAGTACATAGCCTAACCTGCTATTGTAAATTTGTGTTTGAGTGCATAGCCTAACCAGCTATTGTAGAGTACATAGCCTAACCCGCTATTGTAGATTACATAGCCTAACCCGCTATTGTAAATTTGTGTTTGAGTACATAGCCTAACCCGCTATTGTAGAGTACATAGCCTAACCGGTATTGTAAATTTGTATTTAAGTACATAGCCTAACCCGCTATTGCAGAGTACATAACCTAACCTGCTATTGTAGAGTACATAGCCTAACCAGCTATTGTAGAGTACAGAGCCTAACCCGCTATTGTAGATTACATAGCCTAACCCGCTATTGTAAATTTGTGTTTGAGTACATAGCCTAACCCCGCTATTGTAAATTTGTGTTTGAGTACATAGCCTAACCCGCTATTGTAGAGTACATAGCCTAACCGGTATTGTAAATTTGTATTTAAGTACATAGCCTAACCCGCTATTGCAGAGTACATAACCTAACCTGCTATTGTAGAGTACATAGCCTAACCAGCTATTGTAGAGTACAGAGCCTAACCCGCTATTGTAGATTACATAGCCTAACCCGCTATTGTAAATTTGTGTTTGAGTACATAGCCTAACCCCGCTATTGTAAATTTGTGTTTGAGTACATAGCCTAACCCGCTATTGTAGAGTACATAGCCTAACCGGTATTGTAAATTTGTATTTAAGTACATAGCCTAACCCGCTATTGTAGAGTACATAACCTAACCTGCTATTGTACAGTACATAGCCTAACCTGCTATTGTAAATTTGTGTTTGAGTACATAGCTTAACCCGCTATTGTAGAGTACATAGCCTAACCGGTATTGAAGAGTACATAGCCTAACCCGCTATTGTAGAGTACATAGCCTAACCCGCTATTGTAGAGTACATAGCCTAACCCGCTATTGTAAATTTGTGTTTGAGTACATAGCCTAACCCCGCTATTGTAGATTACATAGCCTAACCTGCTATTGTAAAGTACATAACCTAACCCGCTATTGTAAATTTGTGTTTGAGTACATAGCCTAACCCGCTATTGTAGAGTACATAGCCTAACCCGCTATTGTAGAGTACATAGCCTAACCCACTATTGTAGAGTACATAGCCTAACCCGCTATTGTAGAGTACATAGCATAACCCGCTATTGTAGAGTACATAGCCTAACCCACTATTGTAGAGTACATAGCCTAACCCGGCTATTGTAGAGTACATAGCCTAACCCGCTATTGTAGAGTACATAGCCTAACCCACTATTGTAGAGTACATAGCCTAACCCGCTATTGTAGAGTACATAGCCTAACCCGCTATTGTAGAGTACATAGCCTAACCTGCTATTGTAGAGTACATAGCTTAACCCGCTATTGTAGAGTACATAGCCTAACCCGCTATTGTAGAGTACATAGCCTAACCCCGCTATTGTAGAGTACATAGCCTAACCCGCTATTGTAGAGTACATAGCCTAACCCCGATATTGTAGAGTACATAGCCTAACTCTCTATTGTAGAGTACATAGCCTAACCCGCTATTGTAGAGTACATAGCCTAACCTGCTATTGTAGAGTACATAGCCTAACCCACTATTGTAGAGTACATAGCCTAACCCGCTATTGTAGATTACATAGCCTAACCCCGCTATTGTAGAGTACATAGCCTAACCTGCTATTGTAGAGTACATAGCCTAACCCCGATATTGTAGAGTACATAGCCTAACCTGCTATTGTAGAGTACATAGCCTAACCTGCTATTGTAGAGTACATAGCCTAACCCTGCTATTGTAGATTACATAGCCTAACCCCGCTATTGTAGAGTACATAGCCTAACCTGCTATTGTAGAGTACATAGCCTAACCCCGTTATTGTAGAGTACATAGCCTAACCTGACATTGTAGAGTACATAGCCTAACCTGCTATTGTAGAGTACATAGCCTAACCCTGCTATTGTAGAGTACATAGCCTAACCTGCTATTGTAGAGTACATAGCCTAACCCCGCTATTGTAGAGTACATAGCCTAACCCACTATTGTAGAGTACATAGCCTAACCAGCTATTGTAGAGTACATAGCCTAACCCCGCTATTGTAGAGTACATAGCCTAACCAGCTATTGTAGAGTACATAGCCTAACCTGCTATTGTAGAGTACATAGCCTAACCCGCTATTGTAGAGTACATAGCCTAACCCGCTATTGTAGAGTACATAGCCTAACCCCGCTATTGTAGAGTACATAGCCTACCCCGCTATTGTAGAGTACATAGCCTAACCCGCTATTGTAGAGTACATAGCCTAACCTGCTATTATAGAGTACATAGCCTAACCCGCTATTGTAGAGTACATAGCCTAACCCCGCTATTGTAGAGTACATAGCCTAACCCCGCTATTGTAGAGTACATAGCCTAACCAGCTATTGTAGAGTACATAGCCTAACCTGCTATTGTAGAGTACATAGCCTAACCCACTATTGTAGAGTACATAGCCTAACCCGCTATTGTAGAGTACATAGCCTAACCCCGTTATTGTAGAGTACATAGCCTAACCCGCTATTGTAGAGTACATAGCCTAACCAGCTATTGTAGAGTACATAGCCTAACCCTCTATTGTAGAGTACATAGCCTAACCCGCTATTGTAAATTTGTGTTTGAGTACATAGCCTAACCTGCTATTATAAATGTGTGTCTGTGTAGTGATAAGTCCAACTAAGTTTCTCAAAAGTTACCCTAGGTTCCTCTCTAGAGACCATGATTAAGAAGCATGACAAAGAGATGGGAAAATATCTGCATAAGTGGGAAATAGCCTCAAAATCAGACAACAATATCCTTTATTTTTGGTCCTCTCACTCGACCTTAAGTACGGAATCCTAAAGGACTCTGTATGGCTTTAAAGAAAGAAATGTCACATGTCTCCAAAAATGAACAAAGAGTGTTTTGTATAAGGTTTGGGGGAGGTTTCATTACCTGGAGAAAGCATAATGAGTCTGCTCCACTTAAAAGCTCCCAGCACCCTTAGCCAGCCACCTGTTCCCTTTATCCCGCTAGGAAATAGGAAACTGCTAAAAAAAAAAAAACGACAAAAATATTCTCAGCATGCGGTTCATATTAATAAGTTGTATGCTCCATTGCTTACTAACAGTGATATGACTATTGAGGATCTAATGTTTTGTATCACCCCCTCTTTCATCTCTACCCTCCTCATCCCAAACTACTGCTTCCCCTTATCCTTCTGTTGATGTTTAAGAAATGTTTAACAAAGATTTAAGAAATTCAGACAGATCTGCTAAAACAAAACAATTTGCTTTGAGTACAGAAAGCATGTACCCTATGAGAGAAATAGGACATAGGGATAATGCTGGTGTTCCCCTTACTATTGATCCCCCCGGGGCACCAGGAGAGCTGCTAGTTCTAAAACAACAGTTTCCCTGTCCCAGAGATGATATTAGTAAGTTTTGTGATGTTTTGAAAGGATTGATGACTGCTAATGACCCTGTTAAGCGAGATTATGATCAATTGTGGCAGATGACTTTAACCAGTGCAGAGCTGACTAGTTTTAAAGCAGCATGTCCCAAAGTAGTACAGAATGTGAATTGGGATACTGATGTTAAATTTGTGGAGTGCAAGGCTGCCGCATGTAATACATTAAATGGTAATATTATTAAAGATTTTGTTGAAGGATTTCCTCAGAACACCGACTGGACTAAGATGAACACTGCTACACAGGAAAAGAATGAAAGTGTTGAGGAATTTGCTGATAAAATTAAGAAGTTAATAAAAGCGTAGAGTGGTGTAAATGACCCAGAGAGAAATGCAGAACCTCTGATAGTTGCTGTCTCTGTGAGAGGATTGTTACCGGATATAGAGAATGGAGTAAAACAAGTGGTGATTGGTTGGGAAGAGAAACGTTTAAAGCAGTGGTAGTCAACCTTTTTCTACCTCCCGCCCATTAATGCATCTTTCTTGATGGAAAAATTTCCTTACCGCCCACCAGTTTTCGCGCAAGTGCAGAATATTTTTTAGAAAGGAGGGTGTTTTAAAAAAAAAAAAATGTACGTACATTTATCTTTTTATTTCTACTTAATGCATATTTATAATGTTTTTAACTTTATAAAGTTTAATGAGGAAGCAATAAAGTAAATTGAAATTACCTTTACTAGTGATTAATGAGTTCCTTGAGGTTGATGCTGCGAAACTAAATATTTGATATCTGGTTCGATTTTCGTAAGGAACAAACGAAGGTCTCCTCTTTCGGTGATATTCAGACGACTTCTCTGTTTGTGCATAATATGATTTCTCATCTTTGCGTCAGCTCCCCTCCTCTCCTTCCTCAATTCCCCTTTTTCCTTTTTTCTATTTTTTAACCTTACTTATAGCAATGCCCAGTTGGAAGGCTGAGCTAGGTAGCCCACTTACTATTACATACTATAGCCCACTATAACAGACAGGCACACATACATATAGACACACACACAAGACACACATACACACGTACAAAGACACATACATACAAACAGAGGCACATACACACAACACATACATACAAACAGACATGCACACAAACAGACACACACACACAGACATGCACACATACACACACATAAGACATACATACAAAGACACATACACACACATACAGACACATACATACAAGACATACATACAAAGACACACACACACACACACACACAAGACATACATACAAGACATACATACAAAGACACACATACAAACACACACAAAATATTTTAGTCACCCTCCTGTTTCCTACCTTTTAGGTGCAGGAGGGTGACTTTCCCTGGGGTCCAGTGGTGGCTCAGGTGGATGGGTGTCAGAGTTCCCACTCTGACTCATTCTGCTTCCTCCCACGCGGTCTGTGTGTTAGCTGGGAGGAGTGACATGCAGACACTTCCTCCCAGCTTATGATGTAATAACAGGGGGTCCGGTCGCGCTGTTAAAGCGCTGACCGGGCCCCCTTACAATCCACATCCATCAGGTGGCCCTGATAGCATTGGCCACCCGATTGACCCCTTGGACGGCGGCCCCGGCGGTTTTCAAATGGTGATGGCGGTACCAGGTCGCAGGGGTACCGCCAGCTCACACCCACCCTCCCGCCCACCCAATCTCTGAAATTGAGGAAATCCCTACCGCCCACCTGGAATCCTGAAATGCCCACTAGTGGGCGGTAAAGACCAGGTTGACGACCCATGGTTTAAAGTATGTTGTCTTCGCTGCAAAGCATTTTGAGAAAGATAGAGAAAGTCAGAAAGTTGAAGTTAAGGAGTATAGAGCTGCAATGAGTGGTTTCTGCTTTACAGCCTGTGGCTGGAAAAGACAATACTGGTAAGTTGGTGCAGCAACCTCATGGAAATTTGACATGTTACAGTTGTGATATTCCTGGTCATATAACTAGGAATTACAAATGCCCACGAAAGAAAATGAATGTTGATAAAAGACTAGGAAGTGATAGCTTTGATAGTGAGTTCTCCAATGTAACCGGTCCACAGAGAGCGCAGTGGGTACCCCCACTGTACAGACAGGACAGTAATGTTTAAGATTGACTAGCTAATACTGACATCCCTGTTCCTACTGTCTCTGACACATTCTCCAATGTACTGACTGAAAACAGCAAAGTGAATTATTAGTGTAGGACTCACCTAAGAGTAAGAGGTTTTGCCTTGATGCGGCAGGTGAGCTTACACTTAAATATTAGAAAGACCCTGAGGAACCAGGCAGGGCGTAGGCAGGAACTTGGGCATGTGAGTGTGAGGGGAGTGTATACAGAGGAATGTGGTAAAGTGGTTTTGAGATGTGGGTGGAGTAGTTTGGGTTGGATGGGTGGGCTAGTTTAAATAGGTTGCCATCTTACAGCATAGCAGCCATTTTAATTATCAGTTGGGAACAGCTTCCCTTCCTCCCTCTGTCCCTTTAATTGTTTTATGTTTGTTTGTCTGTGTGTTTTGATTGCCACAGCTTGTTTGCCCAGTGGGCGTGATGGGAGCACAGCGGGCTTGGTGGGTGCCCAGCAGGCATTGTTGGAGCCCAGTGGGCTGTGAGGGTGCCCAGCAGGCATGTGGGAGCCCAGTGGGCTTGTGTGCACCCAGCGGGCTTGTGTGCGCCCAGCTGGCGTGTGGCGGTGTATGGCCCTTGTCAACCGGGGGTTGGACCAGCGGTCCATGGAAAGTGGATGGGTAGGGCTGTCCCTCCCCTAACCTCAGGTACAGTGATGGATAATGGACGTGCCTACTGAGCCAACTAACTGGCTAGTGGTTAGCATTACGCAATGGTAGGCCCAAAAAAGGGCCTTTTGCTGGTTGGAACGAGGAGAGAGGGGGCAGCTGCCCTTAAGTTATGTTTGGTTGGCAAGGTGGTCAGGGCTGGTGCTTCCTATAGGCGAATTAGGCAGTCGTCTAGGGCGGCCCTTGGGAAGGGGTGTCACCAGGAGTGCCAGCCCCTCAAATGCTGCAGTCACCTGAGTGCTCTATAGAGAGCCTCAGGTGGCTGCAGCTCTGCCCATGCCAGCACGTCCATGAGGGGAGGAGAGACCACTAAGGGAGGGAGTGGGTGAGGAGAGACCACTAAGGTTGGGAGGGGAGGGGGGGTAAGGATAGGCCGCTAAGGGATGGAGGGGAGGGGAGGGGAGTGAGGGGTGTGAGGAGAGAACACTAAGGGTGGGGAGAGAAGACCACCAAGGGTGGGGGAGGTGAGGAGAGACCACTAGGGGAGGAGGGTTTGAGGAGAGACCACTAGGGGAGGAGGGTTTGAGGAGAGACCACTAGGGTCGGGGGTGAGGAGAGACCACTAAGTGAGGGAGGGGGGGTGGAGGAGAGACCACTATGGGAGGGTGGGGTGAGGAGAGACCACTAAGGGTAGGGGGTGAGGAGAGACCACTAGGAGACACGAGGAGACCACTAAGGGAGATAGGGGGTGAGGAGAGACCACAGAGAGACACAAGGGGAGAGCTCTAAGGGACGGGAGGGGAGAGCTCTAAAGGAAAGGAGGGGAGAGCACTACATGGAAGGGGGTGGGGAGATCACTAAGGGACAGGGGAGATCACTAAGGGACATTGGGGCAGAGGAAAGCACTAAGGGACAATAGGGGAGAGAGGCTGAGGAAGGGGGGAAAGAGAAGCACAAAGGGGCTGGTAGGACTCAGCCCGTATCCTACCCCACAGACTCTCTCTTTCACACTACACACACTATACATACACAGAAACACACAATGCATCCCTTCACACACAGAAACACACCATGCTTCCCTTACACACTGCATCACCTACACAAACTGGTATCTTTATACACTACATTTCATAAGCACACACTTTAGATCCTCTATACTAACACGTAACACATCCCCTAAACACTCCACTCCCTGTGAGTGAACTCATGGGTGGAACATGTAGGTGGACTTATGGGTGAGCCTTATGGGTATACTCACCGTCAGGAACTGGGGGCCCAGACCTTGACCTGTGCAAGGGGCCCAAAAAATTTGAGCTGCTTCACGTTCCCCCAGAACATTGACTTTTGTGACCACAGTTACAAACAGCTGCCAGAGAGCATGTTTTACACAAGACCAGTGAAGCCAAACTGCAGCGAGAGCCCATCATCCTCATCTGGTTATAAATAGGCAATCTAGTATATTATTAATGGCACTAATCTCTAATTTACCTCACATTAAAGGAACACTATAGTTCCCAGAACCACTGCAGCTTAATGTAGTTGTTCTGGTGTCTATAGTCTGTCTCTGCAGGCTTTTTAATGTAAACACAAACTGTGTGCAGCACTGGCGTTAGTTCATATGGCAGATCATATGGGTGGGGCATTGTGGTGTCACATGGGGGGCAGGGAGGGGGATGTGCGCAGTTTTTTCTTTTGCCTAGAGAGGCAAAAATTCTTGCACCGGCCCTGAAGGTGGTACTCAGTGATGTATCTATTTACTGAGTAATCATGTATATAGTGTTTTATGTTATAAAGTTGAAGTTTAAAGAGTTATATATTTATATTTTAATAACGCTGTGGCCTATTTTAATCCAAAGCAAGTCTGGTGTGTTTTCATTTGGGTGAGGTTTGTGTCCATACACAGTTACCCTCTACCTACTCACATGATACTAGATATATGTGTATGTGGATATATGTGTATATATATATATATATATATTTTTTTGCAAAAGTAGACGTTTCAGTCCTCCTCAAGGACTTTCATCAGGATCATAATGGAAGTCCTTGAGGAGGACTGAAACGTTGATCCTGCTTTTAAGATTGTGGAATAAAAGTAAATTTTTATTTAAGACCGAGAGTGCAGCCATCTACTTTTGCAATTTGGATACTGGAGCCCTGGTAGTTCAACCGGCCACGGAATTTTATATTGTTAAAAATGCTCGTTTTTTGATTTAAAGTATATAGATACCTTAAGATCCATTTAAATATGCCCCTATACCCTAATCTTTGATTTTCCAATATGTGTTGGTTGCGATCACATGCTCCTCCATTATATCATATTAACATGTGCATTACAACGCTAATAATGCTCGTTTTATTATTTTATACATATAGACATTTGTAGATTCCATTTAAATACGCTCCTATATCTTAAATTTTGATTTTTGAAAATGTTTTAAATTATGCATATTTTAGGAGTGACGTCATTTTGGCGCCAAAATTCAAATCCTTATCTGCTTTTCTTAGTTTATAAAAGCATTTACTGTACCAGGTTTTTCTCTCTTTTTAATGCCATTTGATAAAGCCCTGTGTGGTGAAACGCGTTTTGGCTGTTATTAGTTTGTTTTATATACTGATATATTATATTCTAAATAAAGAAATATTGGCTTTTATTTTTGCCTATATATATTTTTAATTCCTTTTTTTTTTATTCGAATTACCTAGTCACCGATTTGGATTGAAGTACGCTACTCTCCAAGAATCCAAGGTGGGGATTGTACCACCTGCGCCACTATATTGAGCAGTAGTTCCTGCTCATATACATGTGAGTATTTTACTATTTTATTTGTTCTTTTAAAAAAATTCAGTGAGCACTATATACGTCTCCCATCTCTACATATCAAGGAATTACTCAGGACTTCATCACCCATATCCGACCAGTGGGGGATTGACGCCACTGAACGCTAATAACACTTGAGCAAGTTTTTTGCTCATGCTAAGGTGAGTTTTTTACCTACTCACAGACTTATATCTGAAAATTTGCTGACATCCTACACTATTGGAGCTCTTCTTATCTCTTTTATGTACCCACATATCGACAAGCGAATCAAGACACCTCCAACATAAGAAGCTTCAGACATTCATTTGGACTTTATATCCACCTAAGAAATATACAGGTTTATCTACTACTTGGGACTTTTTATTATATTTATTCATTTTATTTATACCACCTCTCTGTCCCTTCAGCGCGACCTATATACCCATTTTTGTCTATTGTAGATATATATTTGTGTTCGGGGCCATTTCAGTATAATATGAAATAGCTAATGAATATACTTATCACAATAATAAAAAAGTCGGTAGAGGTGTGCCAAAACTGACGTGTGTGGTAGGCCTGTGAATAAGTGGGCAATAAGGAATACCCATATAGTGTAATCCAAGATGTTAATTACGAAAACACAAGACATGGAGTTAGCGTATTACGATGACATATCACAAATGCATTCCTTAATTCCTGTGTTGGCTGCGGAATGCGTCGTTGATGGGGTAGTACTGAATAAGTACCTTGTGACCCCTCTGGCTGGTCTTAGTTGATGGTAAGTTAATACGCAGGGATCCTGTATTTGTACAGGTTAGAACACCGTAGGCAAAGCTTGGAATCGTGTTGCACTGTGATGGTAAATTTTTGGTCGTGGGAAACCATAAAAGCCAAGTATATGGCGACTTTGAGAATGTTGTTTGTAACTGAGAACATGTGGTGTTGAATGCCCGGGAGATATAACTTAAAAGTGTTGTGTGACATTTATTTTGATGTGGCAAAAGTGGCGATAGCCCCCAACGTATATTCTTGAACCAGTTTGTAAGGTGGTGATCTGACATGAACTTCAAAATATGCAGTAAGTTTTGTCATAGCGGTGTGCGTATTCTTTGAGGGCCAACTATGTAAATTCCTGCTGTGACTTAGCAACTCTTCTATTCCATAGGTATTCTTGTAGCTGGGGAGCAATCGTGGCTATTTGTGAGGTAGTTGTTAGGGACTTCCTGAACCTGAAGACTGGATAACTGGTCATCAGCTGTAATGTAAATGCCAGGTACGTGTTAACATAGCAGATAAAAATTGGTGACAGGCTTCCCCTACGTTAGTCGTCTGATAAGAAGGGATACCAGACTGGACTTGTTTATGACGTGGCCAATTGACAAATTGTCAGAGACCTTGAAACGGTCTGCTTGCCCATAACTGACCCCATGTTGCTGCTGCGACTACGATGGATAGGCGTGCAGAGTTCTTTAAGGAACCTTTCGATCTGCTTACTTCCCCAGCCACCTAACCCCATAGCCAACTATCCCCTGAGATCGCAGCAAGCCCTCTGTAAGCAGGTGCATCGGGGTGACTACATGTGTAGATTACCCCAGTTAAAGACATATATATATGTATAGGGAAGAGACACCTAAATATATTGTGCCTGGTGAGTTCCCGCAGGGCGTCCTTCCGCTAGAAGAACCTGAAATATGTATGAAGTATGTGTGACATTACCAGTTTACCAGCAGGAACTAATATTAGAGATCACGTAAGTGTCTGTGACTGTAGTTGTAAATACCAAAAAATGGCCGTATAGGGAGGATTTGAGTGGTCTAACGTGACCATGGTCGTATGTAATTGCCCCCTGTGGTTGAGCATTGAGTCCTAGTGGATTGCTCGCAGAGGGTCGTATGTAACGTGAGAGTGATGGCCTAGTGAGGGACATGTGTAGAGGCCTGCTATGGTAGGTTGTGGCAAAATTGCAAATTTATGTGAAAATTGTAACTCTTCTGGCGTATGTACTAGCCCAAATGAGGGGCTGCCAGTATACTATAGTGGTAGCACTAAGGTGGGTCGTTTGCAACATATGACGAGTGTGGTTGTGAATGACTTTGGCCGTGGTATGCTAAGGTCATGGTTGCCCCTGTAAGCTGGTATTACTTAAAAGCCTAGATGCTGGGTAAGGCCGTATGATAGGTAATGCCCGTGCATGGCTAATGTGGTAACTTGTACCTTGATTGCCCGAGCAGGCAATTAGCCGGGAAAACGGGAAGGACAGTATAATATGATGTATATGAACTGGTCTAATACGCAGTGGTGATGTGGGACTAGTCCAGTCTGGAATTGACTATGTAAGTCCAATGGCAGCTGGGTGTTAAGGACGAACCCGGGAAACTTAAATGACCCACATAACTCAGGATGATTAATAATGTATGTGGCATGTTGCCTGCATTGTAAATTGACAATATGCTAGACTGAAGTAGTACAATGAAAGGTAAGGAGAACGCCTGTTATGAGGGAATTATTACCTTCTGTACGTTTGACCAGGAGTAGTCCGTGTAGCCAGGGTCGTGAGGAGAGCTACTGTGTGGCCGTATGTGGACAGTGCCAGATGTAGCAGAAGTATAATACTATAAGACCTGTTGATTTACAGGTAGAAAGCTGTGAGATAGCTGCACTTTATGCATACATTCCTATCCAGCTGATATGTGAACTCAGTGCCCAAATTAGGCGTTGCAACATAAGACATATTTGTCCCCTAAGGTTAACTGAATTACGTCGCCCATGGGCCATAGATGGCTTTGTGTGAGGACTATGCATAAGAGGTTGAGAGAGGTCCAATGTAGTTCCAGTGGTACTGGGAGGTAACGTACATCTTAGTGGAATTTAATGGGATGGGGTTGGTGGTTTATTGTAAGTTGTAGGTCAGTTGAAAGTTACTGGTCATGACAGCGTAGCCATAATTGAAATATGGTCATACTGATTTTGACCAGTAACTGTCAGCGTAACATATGATCATTGTAGGGTCTACACGGGGAACTTGATAGAGGTGCCGGAATGCCATGACTAATTATACTATATACCTGCTGAGTCGACTGACCTGAGGGTAGATGTATAGGACCCAATTTGCCCGGAATATAGGCTGAGACATGTGAAAACGCAGTAGTGTCTGTACTGACACAAGACCAGGAAGGTTATAACCATACTGATGAATAATCTTTCCAGTCTTGTGTCTCTGGCCTCCAATGACCACTGAGATGTCGCCCTTGGTGTATGAGCGGTGTACTGTGCCATCAAGGGAGGCGATGATACTTTTATACGAGATTAACGTCCTTGCCCTCCAGGATGTCCTTTGAGGTCTGTCGGTACCATATGGTTGGAGTAATGACTTGAGGGCCTGAGAAGATAGGCGTGTTAGAATTGCCAGGTTGGAAATGGGGAGGGCCCAGAATATCAGTGCAAGTGGTTTCTGGTGTCACGACTGGACAGCCACAAGCTTCCAGTCACTCTAGTCTATCGGTCATCTGCCTCATGGATGTTACTATAGAGGCGATCCTAGTATACCGGTTGGCATTGCTCGTGCCATTTGTGCTTGCCCCCGTGTCTGATTTGTTAGTATTGGCTTGCATTAGCCTCTATAGTTCTACTTTGCGGGCAGTAGGTGTAAAGGGTATGTTGCCTTGCATAATTCGGCCGTGATTCGTGGAATGGTCCAAGATCTAATCGAAGATGGACAGCCGGAATCCCCCTTTTTTGGTAGGGGTGGCAGTCCTAGTTGTAGTAATTGGAATAGGAATGTAATTTCCTTTTTCTAGGAACTTGGGACGTACTGAAATATATATATGTAGGAATCCCAAGTTCCTCTTGAGGGTGTATACAGTTGCTTAACTAGTGCCGAAGTGGCGAAACAATTCGTTAGACTGGTGACAGGTGAGTCCCTACTAGTTGCCAAGTGGCTGGGTCGGCTCTATCTATGGTTGGCGCAAGTGGGTGATCTGCTGAATGTGGGCTTAAGTCGATGAACTGTGGAGGGGGTGTGATGAGTGGTTCCCTTGCTAGACGTCTGGCTATGATTTGGCCCATGGGCGCTATGACCTCTTTTGTGGAGGATGGGTGTTGGCCTCACAGGACCTCTATCTCTAAGGCATAAGGTGCCTGGTAGAAATACCTAGGTGGCCATACCCACTCATCTCTATGGAATGAATCTTTATACAGTGTTAATCAGTGTTTAAGGAACCGGGAGCAAATACCTGAATGAACAATGTATGTTCGGTGTACTGCAATAGTTTGAGATTCTGCTAAGGGGGAGGCCTAACCCAGATGTTAACTGACAATGGAAGGCATTGGGTACATATGAGTTTGTACAGACATGCCGCTGCTGAAAAAAAAACCACGATCGTATTGGTTGCATCTACCAGTACCTTGATGACGTAAGAATTGTACTGGTACGTCCCTATCCTGTAGGATCCAATGAGCCAAGTCAGTCTAAGCTTGGCGTGTGGAGACTGTAACCCATGTGAAAAAAGGTTATGGTAGTATAGTAAATGTCTGCTCGGTACCGTTGTACCCAGCGTACCTTTATGTATTTGTGGACTGAGTGCCGTATGTGTCTGAGTAATGACACGTATGATTTGTAACGTATCGTGCCCTTACCAATGGAAGGAGACACAATACGCTTGACTTTTTCTAGGTCTCTGAATCCTGCAAGCAGATCCAGAGATCAAATGACAAATACAGAGTTTTAATATATACCGTTGTATGTCTCCCATGTAAGACTTGAGAACTAGTGCTTGATACCCTATGCACATACCAGTCATTAAGCAAAAATTTGTGCTATAACATTTCAATATGCAGGGGTATGAGGTTACTGTAGGCTAAGTGCTATGTATGACATACCTGTAAAATACCTATATACGTTATATGAAATTAGCCACTTATGATTATTCCTTTTTTATAACCAGCCATATATTATTATTTTTATTTTATAAACCAGCCTCATAGTTGTAATTTTATTTATGAACCAGTCACATGTTATTGTACTTATTTATAACCAGCCACATATTAATGATTCTTGTTATAATCAGCCACATAATTTAATTCCACTTTGAATGACTGAGCGTGATGTGAGTTTGATTGACGTTTGAGTGTACAGCTTGCTTTACGGTTGCAGTGCTGTACTTGATCGTTCTTGCCGGCCGACAGCAGACCTGCGCCTGTGGAGGGAGCTCCCAACCCTGAGCGTAAGTACATTTAAGACGGTTGAGCCATCACCCTTGCACCCCGGTTGTTAGGGGGGTGGAGGTTAGTGGGGGCTAAGAGCCCGCTGTGTCGCCACGCCATGCCTCCATGTCAAAAAGGAGGGGGAGGAGAACGACACCCGCGGGGGACTTGTGTTTGGATTTTCTTTACACAGACGGTGTACTGGATGTGCCCGTCTGTGTTCCCAGTATGGCTGCTCGTGGTGCATGGAGCAGAACCCACCTCCCCGCCGGGAATACCTGAGAGCCTCGTGCCATGTGTGTTCCGTGGGGGGGGGGGGAGGTTGCTTCCTGGTGTGGGTACAGACTGTGAACAGAAAAAGAAAACCCAATGACATTTGAGTGTGGGTCATTTGATAACCTCCTAGCTCCTGTGTAAAAGGGGGGGTAAAACTGTTGCCGGGCCCCGAGACCCTGACCGGATTCGGATGCAATGTAACCTGGCCCCTGGTTGCTGGGTGAGCCGGCGACACCGGTGAGTATGTTTCCCGAGCCCCCCTGCTCTCCAAGAATGTGGGAGTGTGTTAGGAGCCGGATCCATCTATGCTGTGAACCGGCTCCTATCTAGAGGGGGAGGGGATGGGGGGTGGTCTGAGCAAGGCTCGAGACCCGGGGCAGGGAAAACCCAGTGATCCCCCGTATGTGAGTCCCTAAACCTCAGCCGTGGACCTCGGCGGGTCAGGCTGTGTGTGGTCTGCAGACCGGTACAATGATACCGGCCTGCCTACTCACCTTCGATCGGGAAACACTGTGGAAGGGGGAACAACATTTAGAACTCGAGCGAGCTGTCAGGAGAACTTCTGCACACCTTCTGAGAACCGGAAGTCCAGAACCAAAAGTACGTCTGGACCAGTAGGTAAGTCTGGACCAGTAGGGACATAACCCCTCCCACAACTTCAGGCCCCGCTTTCCAATATATATATATTTATATAAAACAACAAACAAACCGTAGAGTTATTTAAATGTGCATATGGATTTGGGGTAGTTTGCAAGTAACTTTTTTATTTGGTTTTATTGTATGTATTGAGGCTGATGTGTACTATAAGAACAAAAGAGAGATAAATCTACAATACAATAATAACAGAAAAAAACATAGCGTAATACTGTTGATTGAGAAAAGGGAGTGGAAATATAGATGATAATTCACACTCACAAACCAAAATTGATTGTAGGCATATCTTATAAAATTATGAATATCTCAGGATAAGTGGAACATCATGATGTACATAGAAGGAGATAAAAAAGCATAATAGTGCAGAGTATCTTGGTAAAGAAATACACTTTAATGATAAAGCACACTTACAATGTTGTAGTGGCAAACAGGCATATAAAAACCTCTTAAGACTAAGACCTTTTTCAAGAATACCGATACCAATTGTTTTATTGATATCAGAAGTGGGCATCATCCTAACTGGCTAAAGGGAGTCCCCAAAAGCCAGTTCATTAGGATGCGTAGGAACTGTAGCGATTTAGATTCATTTTATACACAAGCTGAAGTTTTAAAAGGACGTTTTTTGGAGAAGGGTTACAACCCAGAACTTTTGGATGCAGAGATCGAGAAGGTGGGAAGTATCGATCGTAACGATCTCCTTTTTGATAAGAGAAAGGATGTCTCTAGGAATCCTGTATTTGACTTTTCCTTTAACACGCAATACAGTTCTAAGGCCTTTGATATACAGAGGATTATTAAAAAACATTGGGGGTTATTAATAGAGGATGAATATCTTAATCAACAGATTCCCCATCTACCTAAAGTTATCTTTAGGAGAGGAGTTAATTTAAAGCAAATTTTAGCACCAAGTACTTTTAGATCTGGAAAGAGCAAAATAAAACGTAAAGAAGGTTACTACACATGTGGGAGTTGCGTCAGTTGTAATCACAAATATAATAGTGTTACGAGTTTTGTGAGCACGGTTAATAAGAGAAGGTTTAAAATCAAAGGTACTTTATCCTGTTCTTCAACACATGTTGTATACCTACTCACATGTGGATGTGGGTTGCAATATGTGGGAAGAACGGGAAGAAAAGCAAAAGTTAGGTTCCAGGAGCATAGAAATAATATTAAAAATCATATGTTGACACATTCAGTGCCAGTACATTGTAATAAATGTCCAGTTTTTAACTTCAATACCCTCCAATGTACCATCATTGAACAAGTAGCCTTGGATGAAAGAGGAGGAGATCTAATGTTACTATTGAGAAAAAGAGAGGGATATTGGATACATACTTAAACATAAACGATGCAACCTAGGGGACTCAATGTTGACTTTGATTTGGTTTGCTTTCTCTAAATTGACAATTTTTGCACTTATGCACTTTTCTTGTACATAGTTTTAACATCGACAAATATCTGTTTTGGCAATGTTGTCTAATTAATTACATGTACCTTTTGGGAATGAAATAACAATCTGTTATGCTATACTCTATATATTTTATTAAGAAAAATATCGGCAAAGATTTATATTATTTAAATAATACTGGCGTTTTTGAGATTATAACTATAAATATAACCAATAGTGTATTGAAGGCTTATATGTATATATATATATGTTTTTAAAAAAAAAAAAAATTTCATTAATTATGGCTGCTCTCCCCTCTCCGAGCGGTGGAACGCATATTAGGTGGAACGCATAGAGATCCGGAAGAGAGAAGTGAGCCTCATTTCCGGTTGCGTCAGCAGGTCGCACCCGAAAGTACTACAGATGGACGAACCCGGAAGTAAGCTGACAATTGGAGGAGGCTTTCGGCGCGCCAAACCGGACGGATTTAAAAGTCAGGTATATCATATGGACAGCTATACCTACACACAGAAGGACTTTTTGCCCCTGAGGAAGTTCAAGGACGTTTGAACGAAACGCGTAGGGCTTATTTATAGTATTTATAGTGTTTAAGAGGTTTTATTATTTAATCAGGTTGTTTTATTTTATTTTATTTGATCTGCTGGTTATGTTGATCCTGTGATTCATCTTGTGATCCTGAGACCGGTGGTTTTTATATGCCTGTTTGCCACTACAACATTGTAAGTGTGCTTTATCATTAAAGTGTATTTCTTTACCAAGATACTCTGCACTATTATGCTTTTTTATCTCCTTCTATGTACACCATGATGTTCCACTTATCCTGAGATATTCATCATTTT